CACCGTTGTAAAGGCGGAAGAGACTGAAAGCTGAAATGCAAGAAAGCGCCACCATGCTCAGGCTGACCACCACCGCGCATGCAAGTCCCTCCCCAACTTGGTTGCAGAACTTCTTGTACAGATTGCATGTCTTCATCCACTGCAACTCCGGCTGCCCCAGCTTCCCGAACACAGCTGACTGGGCTGCCGATGCCACTGCTGCCACTGTCAGGTATGCCATAATCTGCACAAAACTCTACTTCTCAGACTCCAACATCCTATGGTCACAAATTTAATCTCTAAATTTACAATTTTGTGTTTAGTATGTCATTAAATTTTAAAAAATTGAAGTGAACTTTCAATCTATTTCCCTTATAAAATTAATTGATCTATCAAATATAAAATGAAATTTTACATCCAATAGAACTCTAAAGGAGACAAGTTAGATGAATCTTAAAAAATGTTGATAAAATAGAAATTTACGTCTAATAGAACTCTAAATGAAACAGGTTCTCTAAATGAGACAGGTTGATGAATCTTAAAAAATGTTGATAAGGTCGATAATATATTAGACACAAAATTAAAAATTTAAAAATCTATTACACACTTTTTAAAATTTCGACTACATTGAAAGTTCAAGAATCAAACAGACATAAACATAAATATTCGGTGACTAAACTTATAATTTAACCTACAAGTTTCGTCATCGATTTCATACTTAGTTTCAAGTATAATATGAATGTGGGGTCTGACAATATTGGTTGGTAGAAAGTATTTGGGCTTGGTATTAAGACAATGTTTACATTGGAAAACAAAATTTAAGACAATGAGCTTAAAGGATATGGAGTTAAAAAAAGAATTCTGATTTAACCAAAAGGAAAATAAGATGCGTAAAATTCAAGGACAAAAAGGAAGATAGAAAGATAAGCAGATATTGACGTGCACAAGGAAATTTATTGTAGGCCACATAAATTTTTCGGATGGAGGTCGGTAGAACCGAAGTTCACTTGGAACTTGCGCATTTATTGTTTTTCATAGCCATTTAACAAGTGGTTATCTCTTTAGTCCATGATAATGGAATCCTCAGACAATACCAACTCAAGTCATGAATGGATTCATTCATGGTCAAAACCAGATATTACACGCATTAGACGAAGCAACATTTTTTATAAAAGTGTGGGAAAAGAGTAACATTTTTTATAAAAGTGTAGAAATCTTTTCCCACAAACGCGTTTAAAAAACATTGAGGAAATCCTTAAAAGAAAACCTAAAGAGAACAATTTCGGCTAAGAATAGGCTTGGATAGTTACAAATAGTATCAAAGCTAGACACCGAACAATATGCCAGTGAGAAGAAAAATGTTGGGCCTTGAAGGAGTGGATTGGAGGGTCTCACATCGATTGGAGAAGGAAACGAGTGTCAGCGTGAACACTGGACTCTGAAGGGAGTGAATTGTGTGTTAGATCCCACATCGGTTGGGGGAGAAAGAACATAGCATTCTTTATAAGGCAAGTTAATCTCTCCCTCACATACACATTTTAAAAACTTTGAGAGAAAGTCTGAATAAAAAAGTTCAAAAAAGACAATATTTGCTAATAGTGAGCTTAAGTTGTTTTTGTTATCATACATACTTCATGGAAAAAAAAAGGAGGAGTAAGTTTGGAATCTCCTGTACCTGATCGCCAGAGAAAATGATCCAAGCCAAAGGCTTGCTGAATAGCACATTTCCCCTCACCATGCTCACCGCACATCGCAGTCCTTGGACAAAAGAGTAAGCTGCAGCTACTGCATTTGCTACCACCAAAAACCTGTATTAATATCATAGCGTCAGAGAGGCCGTGAGGTAACTTCTATAATGAATTCTGCACCAATTTTTAGCCTACAAGTGAAAGGAGTGATAAGAATATGTATATTACAACCCTGCATTCAAATCTTGTTTAAGTAAAAGCTTTTAAGTCTAGTGATAGTTTAATTTGTAAAACCAAAACAAAACCAAGAACAGAAACAAAAGAACCAGTAACTGTAAATGGGTTCAACCAATATCATCTCAAAAGTGTAGTAGTTAATAGGTAGGACCAAAATCCGACCAAGCAGAAACAAAAAAACAGAGAGAGAGAGAGAGAGACAGACAGAGAGACAAAGAGATTACACAAGAGCTTTCATGTCTGTAAATTTTGCCTTCTTTCGAATAGCAAAGATATCTTTAACTTCAGTATCAGTTCCCACAAGTACAGAAGCAAGAACTCCAAGGCCACATATTAAAAACCTCAAGACCAGCTCAATCACCCTCACCCTTTTATCAAAGACCTTCAAATTCGAGCTGTGATACACAGGGACATTCCCCGGGCTAATGCCAATGCCAGAATAGCTCATTTTCTCCACCCCAAGACCCAAATCCAGAAAGAGAAGCAAGGATTCAACAAGAAGAACCTCAATTTTTCAGTCAGACATTTCATCAAACACTTGTGGGGCATGCACGAGAGCACCCTTCATATAAGCACTCATCAGCAGCACCAATTAAATAAGTGACATCGACGGGTAAAATTCAAGAATATAGTTTACAAATTAGCAAAAATGTAGTGGTGGGAAATGTATTGAAGATCTGGCAAAGCAAGCAACTTTTAGACAGGTGTCGAAAACAGAGATGTGGAAGCTGGTTGGTGATTTTACTGAAGAACGCACCTCATGCTGCAAAATAAAGGCTGCCTTTAATGGAGTCTGACCTCAATCTGTGAGGCATTTAATGGGTCTACCAGGAGGACCCATTTGTCTTCGGAAATCCATAGTGATGTCCATTTCCCTGAAGTGAGAAGCAGAGTCTTCTCACCATTAATCAAAACCAATCAGTACCAAATTGTATTATTGAAATTTTATTTTTAAAAATTATATTAATATTATTGGAATAATTATAATGTTTTACATTTTTATAAAAAAATCTAATATAAACTTAAAATTATATATTAAATTTTTTCAAATAATTTCTTTTTCAAGTAAATAAGAATTAAAATAAAAAGTTAAAAGATTTTTAATTAAATATGATCCAAGAATAAATTATTATTATTTTTTTAAAAGAAATAAAAGTGGAAAAGGGTATTTTGGGGAAAAGTGGATGATATTGGTGGGGGAAGAAAACAAAATGATTAAAGTTGATATGGATTATAGTATGTGGCGGTGGTAGAGGGGCAATGCGGTAGGTAAAATGACTCAATTGGTCACGTTCGCATGACCTAAGGTTATGCTATGACTATGATTATAATGTAGTAAATTTTGTTTTTTTATTCATTTACCCTCGTTCATTATACCGCCCGGAGGGTCATATATCAAAACTCGGAGCGATAAGAACGAAAGCCCTACCCACTGTTACACTTACTGGCGCTTCAAAAGGCTTATATTCTACGCTACTGAAAGCCTTTTTTTAGGTCGGGGGTGTAAGCCATGATAATCATCCATGTCTAAAGCGTATCTTAATGCTTGAAAGTTCAGTGTTCAACGTCGCCCTACCACTTTTCTTTTTCAAGGTTGAGCTTTTTCAATTCAAGTAGTGTCTTTTTTCTATTTTTATTGGTAAATAGCGTCGGGAAGCGAAGGTATTATTGAACGAAAGAGATGTTGGGTCGGTCAATTGCATTAGGTAGGAGATGCAAGCGGAATTACCGTGAAGAAAAAGTCTCATGCAGGATAGCTGCGGCTAACAAAATTCAACACGGTTTTTTTCAGGCTTTCTCCTGTGAGTCGGTCCACCACGATCAAGACCCATACTCCCTTTTTTGGCAGAGCTGCGAAAAAATCTATGGAGACACTTTCCTATGGTCTTTGTGGTACAGGCTACGACTCCAAGAGCCTCAGGAGTCTATCCTGCTCGACCTTGTCCTGTTGACACAGGAGGCACGTCTTCACATACTTAGCAACGTCGTCTCGCATGCCAGGCCATTTAAGGAAAAAAAAAAGAGGAAGGGGGAGAGGAAAATAGCAGTGAGACCGAGTTTACAGTTCAAGAATAAATAGGTGAAAGAAAGAAGGTGAAGGAGCGAAGACGAAGACAAAGTTCTCGAATAGTGAAACCCGAGTTGGAGAGGTTTAGTAGTTCAATCTCATTCATCTTGAGTTGAGTCTTTACTTTCTCTGTCTTTTACCTTGTCTTTTAGCATTTGGTTGTGTTTTTAATCGTTTAAGTATGTCGATATCGAGAGTGTTACACTCATCAACTGTGTAGATTACAAAAAAAAAAAATTCTAGCCTTGTCACTCACTTAGAATCAGGTATGGATCAAAGAAAAAGGTAGCTTGCTTCTCTCTTCGACCGATGGATGGAGATTTATATCTATCATTTTTCTTTACATTTAATTATTTTTACAATTTATTTGAATATTTTTCAAAACATTATTTAAATTTAATAATTTGATTTACTCTAGACATAGTTTTCTTTGAGTTTAGAATGGATAGATGACGTTTTATGGGAGAGTGTTGAGAGGACCTTCCTTTTAACTATTTTACGATAGCTAAAATGTTTGTGGGAGTGAGCTCGAGACTGCTTCTTGTACTTGTTCTCTCTTGCTGGTTGAGCCTCGACTTTTTGTCATGCCCGGTAAACTTAGCTTCTCAACCCATTTCATGCATCAGTCCAATCGAGATGTGACTTGTCCCGATTGACTCCCTCTACTTAAACGACCCAGTTTGTTATTTTCAACCCTCTTCTAATTATGATGTCATGAAACGTCATAGGTGGAACCGTATCTCAATGAGCAGGATCAAACTAACATCAACTAAGAAAATTTAGTAACTTCAACTTAGGCCAACAAGTGAACCGAATGAAATGTAATATAAATTTGTATTCACGAAAATCTCATCCAAAGTTAATAAAGAGTTTATTCGACAATGTCGAGCTCGATAGCCAAAACGAAAAGACTACACAATAAAACGCTACGTCTTTCTCGTGTGCAACCTAATCTCCAACAATAAAACACACCAAACACATTGCAAAGGGCCTTATAAACATCGTCAAACTCTCACATAAACCCTCAAAATGGGCATAATTATGTCTACAAATTTGGTCCTTGTTTCACTCTTATTCTTTAGTGTCATTTCAGCTGTCCCAACAATGTCCCAAACCTTAAACCACACGAATCTCCTAGCTGCCGTTGGAGACATGAGGGCCCAATCCTTCTATGGCTTTGCCATCCTTCTCCAAATGCTCAACGCCACCACCCAACTAACCCTAAGAGACATCACCTTCTTCATCCCCCTTGACCCTCAGCTCTCGAACATCTCAATACCGACCGACCATCTTGAGTCGTTCGTCCTCAGTCATTCGATTGTCATGCCGCTGCAATTCAGTGACTTGATTCGATTTCCCACTGGCTCCATCGTTCCTTCGGGTTATCGTAATAGGATGATCAGAATCCATAACCATGGAAGAGGCCATTTTCTTGTCAATAATGCTGCCGTCACTATTCCTAATGTTTGTTCTAGTTCCGGGGGTATTAAGTGTCATGGGATTGATAAGGTCATTGATTACGGTAATGCTTATGATAATCATAATGTTTAATTTCTAGGGTTATATCTTTGGAATATAGTTTCTTGGAATGAACGTTAGTAGCTAGCTAGTGGTGTCAAATATGGAAACCATCATATAGTTCATTAATAAAAATCAAGGGACCATAATGGTTGATTGCTCAAAACACCCGGCGTGTAATCTACTCACTAAAAATCATTTTCAGCAATCACTTCTCAGTAACCGTTAGTAGTTCGCTATCTGATACACACAACGTGTAACCCTTGCCACAAAAATAATTTTCGACAATCATCTCAAGTGACCATAGGTGGTTAGTTACCCGATACATAATGGGTAACCCTTACCACATTCACTACATTAAAAAATCATAATACGCACATGTGCGATCCCAACACATATATTTTTCATGACTAGTAAGCATAACAAAAAACAACAAACATTCATATAATATCATACACATCCAACCGTCGTTTAGAAAAATAAAACGATTTAGTTTCAATAGGAAGATTCCTTGCCTCGAGTGTTTCCCTTAATCATTACAAATGATATCAGAGTAGTGTCTCTCCCTGTAAGATGTGGTTCGGAGACGAATCAAAGTGGAAGCTGATGGTCACGTGGCACTTGAGTAAACAAGGGATACATGAATGAGCAGGTTCACCCATTTTGTACGATGGGCTATGGCTGATCCAACTATTTTGGGCCCAGCCCATGAAATGCCCGTTTTTCAGTCACCAATCACTTGCGTTCATTTCGTCTCAGACGGCAGCGAGTCGGTAGGCGAATTATTACAGTCACACAACGAGAGAGAGAGCCGGCGGAGGTCAGTTTCAGCACCGGAGAAGACGTGATGAACACTGACATTACAGCTTCGACTAAGCCGGAGTATCCAGTAATAGATCGGAATCCTCCATTTACCAAAGTCGTTGGCAATTTCGACACTCTCGATTACCTCCGTTTCGTCACCATCACCGGCGTTTCAGTCACCGTCGGTTATCTTTCCGGTACCAATCTCTCTCTCTCTCTCTCTTACTTTTCTTCTTTTCTTCTATTCCGTTTCGTTGCTCATCTGGAAATCTGTTCTCCTGTCTTTGCGTTTTAGGGATTAAACCCGGGATTAGGGGTCCGTCAATGGTCACCGGTGGTCTAATTGGGCTGATGGGAGGCTTCATGTATGCTTATCAGAACTCGGCGGGTCGGCTTATGGGATTCTTCCCCAATGAAGGCGAGGTAGCTCGTTATAAGAAATAAGATTGCGCGTTTTCGTGTTCTTTTTTTTTTTTTTTTTTTTT